TAGAAGGATCTGAAATAGAAGATCCATTTTATATACTAAAATTTTTTGAGTGTTTTTTTTGCCACATTTTGTAAATAACAGTTTTTCGATATAAAGACATTAATATTTTATTAATATATATCGTTATAAATTAATGACAGCTGAATTTTATAATATCAAATTATTCTAATAGTTTTTAGTGAATTCTAATAACATCAAATGTGTCACTGCTCATGATAATGATCATGGCGTAGGTTTAGTTTCTTCTGGCATACATAAATTTAAAAGTTCTCTGAATTTTTTTTCTGTAACTTCACATAGGTCTACAGTCGCGAACAATGCTGTTTGTTGTTCAAGCTTATCCATGATCTTCTCTTGACTTTAATTGCGGTCACTAATATTTTCACTAGTTTTCCATGTTCACGTAAACTTTTTTCAACTTCTTCAATACCTTGCTTATCCATAGCTTGTTGGTCCTATATGTGCATAAAGTTTTGTTTTTGGAAATTCTTAAGCTAAATCATGCAAAAATTAATTCATAGTAACGAGTACCATATGATATTGCTGATCGTCCTCCGATTTTATTTCATAGGACCGTTTGACGTGCTGCATTTCAATTCTATACAGCTTATCTATTAAAAAACGAATCTCGAGTTCGCGCTTCAGTTTGTAAAATTTTTCATCTAGTCTTCTGTACGTTGCCTCAATGTCCTATGAAATAATGCAACTATTAATATGCTTGAACTTACTTAATTTTGCTTCAGACTCCTATGACACAGAATTTGTTGTAATTCATTTAAGTTTTTTTTATTTTTTTGTTAATATGTATTACATATTAAATAATATAATATTTTTCGTATTTATAATTTCATTATATAATCTACCATACATTTTAAATAATTAAATTCAAATTGTTACTTTAAAATATTCTCTTATTTTCATATTCTAATTAATTACTTTCAGCAAAACATTTTCTATCAATTTCAGTCTGTTATATGTTGAATAAAAACTTAAATAAAATTTTTGTTATTCAGGATTCCTATTATATATTATTATTTAAGATTATTATATTGACCTCAAATTTTGGCTCATGATCAGAGCATTCAATATTATTCTTTGGTCCAAAGATATTTTCCGCCAACTCGTCCTCTGAATCTTGCGTCTCTTCACGCTGAGATTTAATAATTTTTATCATAATTCATGAGTTTAAAATGTTTACACTAACTCAGTTTTTAGATAGAAATGATTTTACTTACGTCAGATGTTTGTGCAATCATCAAAGCACTTAAGCACCTTTTTAATTCCTGTAGAAATAAACATATAAAATGTTAATATTTTACTTAATGTTATATGTTAAAAATCTTTTAATATTTTAATATACAGAAGTTTTTAACTTCCTGTAGGATAAGTGATAGTAATTGCAAATTAAAACTTGAAATTTAACTTTATCATATTGAAGTAGAAGTGCACAAATTTCGTAAAAGTATTGTTTTTGATAAATTTATCATTGATGTATTAATTATTTATAAGAATTTAATTATAAATATAAATAATTCTTGATGTTTACCTGCAAATTTTTTGTCAAAATGCTTGTGGTATCAGCAACACCACTTGTAGGTTCTTGTTCAAGTAAAACATGAGGATTATAAAACAATGCATCTTTATTTTCTTCGGTTGGTTGATGCGCCTTTTCGAAGTCAGAACTTTCATCATTTCTTAGTTCTTTGGATTCATCCTTAAAACTTGAAAGAAGCAACTCTTGTTCCTAGTTAAATTATTATTAATCGTAAAAAATTATAAAAGCTATATATGCTCTAGTTCAGAATATATTTGCCTAAATCATATGCATTTTTACTATCTAGAATATGTTCTTATATCCATTTAGTGCAAGTTGGAGTAAATTTTATTAATTAATTTTTATTTATTTAATGATAATTTTTAGTATCAGTAATTTATGGCAATTTGCTTTTATGTTTAATTGAAGTGATGTTTCTCATGCTTATTGCAAAAATATTATAAATATATTGATTGCCATTTTTTTAAATTTCTGATTTTGAAAAAAAAGTATTATTACTAATGCGTGTAAGAGGTCCAAAATATATAATTAAATTGGAATAAATTTCAGAAACAAGTGTTAAATTCTATTTAATTTGTGTACAAGATATAAGCGAGTAATTAGCAATGAATGATTTAAATACTACTTGCTTATATTGAAAATAAAATTAAAAACAAATCTATTGGGATTTTATCTAGTTGAAAAAGCATTCGGTCACGCTTTACCCAATTTCCACTTTGCCTATGCCTGTGAGCGATGTGCTTCAATGAGATTTTTTATATATAGACCCAAGAGAAGATTTAACTTGTTATAGTTTTACCTTACACTTTAAAATATTGCAGATATAACTATTGTTCGAGTTTATAACACGCCTAACATAGTTTTAACTTTTACTTCAATTCATTTGAAGTATTTGTATGAAAAATATTTTGTTTGTAAATCACAAGGGCTTAAAACTTTAAGCATCCGTACATTTTACTCAATGAAAACATAACGTAAAGGTGACAGGATATATAAATATGCTTCAAAGAATTAAAATAATTATGATCAAACATGTCATTTTATATGGATTTTGTGCAATGATAACCGGTTTATTTTGTATTCATAATTATGTTAAATCTTTACCTCTTTGTACTGGCCACACTCCGGGAGCATTTTTTTCGTGCTTTCCTCAAGCTGCGTCTGAATTTCAGCGTACTTTTCTTCTTTCTTGAACAGCTCTTTAGAAATACTCATGGTGACTAATGAACAAAAAATATGTTGATTTTAAACTACTATGATTTTAAGGTTATTCAATTATTTATATTCGTTACTATGGAAATTGTTTATACGGAACGATTTATTAGCCAGTTGGGGGGAGGGGGTCACGTCGTTAAAAAAACGGCGATTTGTACGTTAACAATTTTTGATTCTTTTGAGATTGCAGTGCTCACTGCTCAATATATAAGAATATTTTGAAGAAGACACTTCAACACATTTTCAATATTTTTACAACCAATTGAGTTAATATGGGTACTTACTTATCAATTTAACTGGAATAAGTTACAGTAATCGCAACTAGTAGTGCATGGCATCGTACCTTAATGTAAATTGCTGAAATTTCCCGTATTGTAATTAAATATTTGAGGAATAAAAATAATCAATAATCAATAATCAATAAATAGGAGTAGTATCGATGAATCAGCCACCAATTTCGTTATATCAATGACTCGTTACAACTTAATGGGATTCAAATTCTGTTAACATTTAAAATATAAAGTTAATGAAATTATAAATCTTATATTACCCTCCTAACCCCGGTCAATGACTAACTTTTTTTTTTCGAGGCCTCTTATTGCCCCTCTGGATATTACAATCGCCCACCGAGGGGTGATATCGCTCACTTTGAGAAAGACTGACATAATTTTAAAAATTAAAAATCTTGGTACCTGTAAAAGTTAGAAACAATATTAGTACTTATTATTAAAATTTCTATAAAACATCTGATAAATTGATTTTCATATGCGCCATGATCATTTTTCACTGAGCTTTTTCTGACTCTTTAAAAAACTCTTTTCTCTGAAACTGCTGAACCTGCCTTTCGAAAAATTCATTGAAATTTCCCTTAATACAAGTAATATATTTTTCGAATCATCGAATTGATCGCTCCTTTCTCTCGAAAACTGAATTGCCATTTTTGGCCTCGAATCGTTGAAATGCTGGACCTGCCTTTGCTAAAAACTAATCAGCAAGTTTCCATCAATATGAATTGAATGCTTTTTGAATCATTCAAATCGGTTGATTTGTGTTCTCGAATTTGTCGACAAAATATTATATCCGCACACACTCAAATTTATTATAAAAATTTTAAATTTTGTAAAATAAACCGATGTTTTTCATCCGATATCTTAGTAGCGCATATACTCGACATGAACTCTATTTGGACTTACATATTTTTGTAGCATATTAATGTATAATATTAGTGATAGCTAATATAAATGGTAAAGTATTTTATAATAAATGTTTACAATTTTTACAAAAATAACGAATTGTGGGATAAGCTAAAGTTACTTTTCCTGAAATAGGTATTAAATTGATGGAACTATGTATGATTAATTATATGCATTATTCACACAATGGATTCAAGCAGTTGTTAATGCCACATGTAATCTTAGTAAAACAAGAAATTATGGACTGCCACTATATATTTAGTTACTACTTAGGGCGCAAACAATAAAAGCTTGATAATTCCTAATGTACGCGCTTGTAACAATTTCTGGATGATTAAACATCGATTCATCTTGCTTTGTGATTTTGGTAAATTTATTTTCACAATTCGAAAAAAGCGTTTAACCTAACAGTCTTTTCTACTACCTAACCTTTTAAAAGTTTATTAGCGGTGACATATGAAATATTTATAATTTTAGTTTTCGAAATTCAAAGACGAAGAAGCGAATATTAGTGTATATCATAGTTAATTCATCTATTAGATACTAATTCAGATATGTGAACCAATATAGTTACAATTGTGTACAAGACTATTATAATACTAAAATTATAGTGAGGACATTTTAAATTATAAAAGATCATAATATTTATACTATTCACTTATATGCTTATAAGTGAACGCTTACGAGTGAACGTTTAAAAAGTATTACGTCAGAATTATAAAATAAATTTATTTCAGGTTTTATAATTTTTTACCTCACGTTAAATTATGTTTTCACTTAAAATAATCATAATTTTTTTAATCTCAAATATAACTGCTAATAACAACTTACTACCAAAATCTGCGAGTGAAACTTCAGAGGATTTGTCTGACTATGCGGTACATATTGCAGCAAATTATTGCCGATTTTGCAACTTTGTTGCAGTTATAACAGAACAGAATATTTTCAGAAAATTTGTTAGAGATACTACTATAAAACATTCGTTCAAATTCTATTTACCCTTGATGATTATCGACGATTTTACTAAATTCAAGACAATGCCTCAATTTGAAGTAGAAAAACAGCGACATATTGGCAGAAGCCGATTATTTCTGGTGTATCTTGATCACGAAAGCAGCAATCTATTCCACTCGCTAATTCACAAGATGAAAAATTTACCTCACTGGAGAGCAAATACAAGATTATTGTTGATTTTCACTAAAATAATGCGAGGGGACGATACCAGGTGGTTGCGTAACATTTTTCATTTACTATGGCAACATCACATAATACGTGTTGTGGCGATCTATTGGAATAGAAATATTAGGAATTTGGAAGTAGTTACTTACGATCCGTTTATAAGAAATTTTTACATGAATATGACAGGATTTCCAATGGAATTTGACGTTTATTTTGATAAAACAGCAAATGTTAACAAATTTCCTATAAACGCCATGATAAAAAAGGGTGAAGAAATGATGTTCAATCTACCCATTGAAACAAAAGATGCCAAATTCAAAGATGTTAACACAATGGTAATGATTGCGGTTATGCAAGCCATGAACGCACGCGTTATTAAAATTTATAAGTCCACGTTAGAACCGAATACGAAAGACACGTCGCGAAATTTATCGAAAACTGTTCCACATTTTACGGCTGATGTTATTTTCATTGCAACTGGTATGATAAAAGAACGTAATATACAGCTATTGTATCCTCATGGTCAAGATGATATTTGTGTAATAGTACCTAAAGGACATCCAATACCTCAAATATATTACATGTTCATGACATTTCGACTTAGAGTATGGATTATTTTATTTGCTGTTATGGCTGTGGGTGTTCTTGGATATTTTTGTATAAACTATTATGCCAAGAATAGTTCGAACAATGCGTTAAGTATTTTGCGTACGATGTTGTTATCGCCATTGCCTCATCTGCCGCCCACCGATCCTGAGAGGTTGACAGTTTTCTCTTGGCTGGTTTTTGGTTTTCTCATGGCTAACATATTTATATCTTCTCTAACTAGTACTTTAATCGAGCGCAAGTATTATCCAGATGTTACTACTTTAGCTGATCTTGAAAAAACTGGTTGGAAAATATTTGGCATGGAAGATACCGTGAATCTTATAAAAACTCACTTGAATGAAACATTTGACAAAGAGTTTCTCGATCGATTTGACGCCACAAATTTAAAGCAAGCTATGAGTACATTTGGTGGTTCTAAGCGATTGACTAATAGCAATATTTATAGCATGTTAGTTAAAGTTGGGAAACCCATATTATTAGAACGAGTTCGAGCTCATCACTTATTAATGAGCAGCGAAAATATTGTGGATGGGCGTAAATTTTTCACTCTTATGCCTGACTGCCCTTTGCCGAGTCAAGTTTCCTACGGTGTGATGAAGGGTAGAGGTGCAGTTTATAAGGAAAGAATTGACATTTTGCTTAAGAGATTAACTGCATCTGGTCTGTATTCATACTGGCAATCGATGTACGAAATGAGGAATCTATACCGATCGGTTCACGACGGACAAGGACATGGAGATGATTCAAATGACATTCACTTGGGAGTTTACCACTTACAAACATGTTTCTATTTGTACACGATGGGTATTACAATTAGTTTTTGTGCATTTTTTGCAGAATTATATGTATATAAAATAAAATTAAAGCAAAATCGACAAATGCCAATCAGATATCAAAAAAGTGAAAAGCCTATATTTAATGATTATATTGAGAAAAATGACATGTATTTATCATAATTTAATTAAGTTATTTGTTTATTAGTTGTTAATATTGTTTTAAGTACAGCCAAATATTATTTCTCATTATAATTTAGTTAGATGAAACAGAAAAAGGACATCATTATCAGCGTGGCTAACAAAATAGATATTTTGTTAGATTATAAATAGGCAGAGGATATTTATTTATTAAAGATAAGGACTTTAAAATAAATTAACATATTATTAAAATGTAATATTAAATTATTACATTCACAAGTTTTCTGTATACGGAATATATATTTCCAAAGGTATTGCTGATATTAATATATTAGGCAATTTGAAGATTTTGAATATTATTTTGGGATTATATGATTATATGGTGAGTGGTACAAGTGCTTTTTATTGTTAGAAAAACATATTATGTTTGTAGCATAGAATATGGTCCTGTATCTAAATATCAATACTTAAAAATTAAATTAAAGACTTTTACACTTTTTCGAAAAACTAATATATTCAAAATTATTGAAAATTTCAAAATTATTACTAACATTTACTTAGAAATCGAAAATTCTTATTATTTTGTTAGCATTTACACAATGCAATACACCACTATTTTGAAAATACATTTACCTAGCCAAAGATTTTCTATCGTGAGTTCTAATAAGAAACTTACTATTAAACTTAGTTGAATCATTCATATTAAGCAACATGCTAATAAGAATGTGATGAATATAATTTTTAATAATACATTAAAACAACATTTATCGAAAAATTAGTTACACACATGACATAGTAGGGGAGTTAGGGGCTATAGTAAAAAACGGTAACCAGTAACAGGCGTTCTCGAATATGATCTTAAAACAATTAAAATCTTTTTTTAGTCTCATTTGAACATGTAAACCGCCCTGCGTATTATTGTCATAGCTACTTTCCCACAGGCCGACGCAGTAAACAGAATTGTGCAGGTGCGTCATTTTTGACTGGTGATATAAAATTCTATCATAAAACTTCGGCTTGAGTTTGAGATTATCGACTAATTTTAAATATTATATATATTTTTGTTCCACATTTATTAATATTTCATAATGTATAACAATTAATGTGATTGCTAAACAGCTTAAATAGTTAATTTGAATAATGTGAAAGAGTCATACCTCGGGTTAGTTGAAACAAATCCTTGGGGCTAGTTGTAAAATACAATCGGCCTACCTTGAATGTGATGCATGCAAAAAATGCGGGCGCACGCCTTAGGGGACGCTAAAACGAGATTCGGATATGGAATTTATAATATAGTTTTTTTCAATATCATTAAAAAAATATATAACTTCTTTGCATCTTTTACTAATCTTGGACAATATTTTTTAAACTTTAAATTAACAGTCTGATACACGATGGGAAAGTATAGATGAATACATACAATTCGGTTCTTACGATATCAGGATAAGTTTACGATGCAATTTTAGATATTTTAAATAATGAAAAATTAAATTAAAATAATTTAACATGAAGTACCAGTATTATGTTTAATAATGAGAGGCTAGAATTTTTTTTTCTCTCTATGGTTTGTTCAATAGAATAAATCGCATAAAATCCCCAAAATAAATAAGTGAATTGTTTCAGAACCCAAATATTGATATAACACATGCGTTAGAATCAAATGAAAATTTAAATTTTTCGAAAAAAATTGGCATGCGGGCGCTGAGTACCCCGGATCCTGCATACAAGAACTATATATAGAAGTTAATTTATGATAAATATTTATATTATTGGAAACATGATATATTTTATTTGTATAAATCATAGTTTACGTGAATTTTGAAAATAATTATTTAGAAACATGTCGAGTTAAAAATAATTAAAAAATATAAAATATCAAAGGTATTATTGTAGACGTTACAACTAGCCCCAAACATGGGGTATGTTGTAACATTGAACTTTTTTAGATTAATTGTAAGTAATGTATAACATTTGCGGAATTATTTTTACTTGAATAGTTACAGCAACTATTCGTACATATATAACCAGTGGATCTCAAGATATATTAATTAAAATAAAACTATTACAACCAGTGCCTAGCTCTCCTTATTTAACTTAATATTCATAAACATTTTGGTTATATTAAGGTGACCATACGTCCCGGTTTGGCCGGGAGAGTTCCGGATTTTCACCTTGTGGTCGGGGTTTTTGTAATAACAATATTTGTCCCGGATTTATTCTTTTGTCCCGGGTTGTCCCGGGTTTTCGAAAAGTATAGGATAAATGTTGAATCTTTGCTCTTACTTGATAATAATATCAAAATTCATATATCTGAAAATGGCACGTACAAATAGTATGTTTATATGAAACTATAATATGTTATGAATGAGAAAATTGCCGTATACACAACTCCTAAGACGGGTTAAAATAGCTTCTCACATTAATAATTTTGAACTTTTATTTTCAATTTTACGAAAATTGACACTAACTATGAAAATGAATTTTTTGATCACCTGGAATATCTGTTAATTATTTTTAAATAATTCTGAAAAAAATTAAACAAAATTTTATAAAAAGTTTGAAAGTTGAAGATCTCAGTCAGTAATTGTCAAGATGAAAAAAAAGATGGAATTTTATTGGATCCCTAAATCGTTCTGTTATTTTAAAATAATAATAAATTTTTCACCATACAACTCTCCCCCACGGATTTACTAAAAATTAACGTCGCAGTTTTTAACTTCCCGTAGGGTAAGTTATAGTAATCGTAAAAAAATCGAAAATGAAATTTTTTATATATCTTTACGTTTCAGAGGTTTCTGAATATTTTGGCATACCTTAGAAAAAATTGATGTATGTGTGTGTGTATGTGTGTGCGTGTGTGTATGTGTGTTCGGATACAAATTTTTGTCGACGATTTCGGGAACACGAATGAAGCGATTTGAATAATTAAAAAAACATTCGATTCGTATTGATAAGGAGACGTGCTGATTAGTTTTTGGCGAAGGCAGGTCTAGCCGTTCCGAAGATATGGGGCAAAAAGTGCCAAAAACGGTAACTAAGTTTTTAGGAGAACGGAGCGTCCGATTTGAATAATTCAAAAAACATTTTACTTGTATGAAGATGAAACTATTTTACAAGATGAAGAACTAATCAAATTTTCATGAAGGCAGATCTAGCGGTTTCGGAGATCTAGTAAAAAAAGTAAAAAAAATGCCATCTGGCGGTCAAAAATGATCATTAGACATATGCACATCAAATTATCAAATATTTTATAGAGATTTTGAATCAGTATAAATTTTGTTTACATTCCTATGGGTAATTTTTTTTCAAAAATGTTAATCTTTTTAAAAAAAATACAGTAAGTTCCAGCAATGCCATGCGCCCCACTAGTTACTTCAAAAAATATGGTCACCTTAGTTATATGGTATCCTATTAGAATCTTATAAGAACACACACCTCCAAAAAATGTGCCTGCAAAATATGTAACTTTTATCATTATAACCTGTGGCATCTCTCGTCAATAAAACTGTTCAAAGTCCAGCGCTAAACCGATTCATTTCCTCGCTAAAAAATTTGCAATTCAAAATCGTATTACTGTTTGAAACGTAAACAAATCGATGCAGCCAGCATCGATATGTCATAAACAGTTATCAATCGTGATCAATTTATGACAAACATTCTCACTCTGATTCAATTGTGACCAATAAAATCATTCTTGAGATTTCGTTACATAACTGATTCCAAAGCGTGCCCTGCTCGCAGCCAAAGCACATCGGGTTGTTCTCAGTATTACTTTAGACGTAAGGTCGCCCGGCTGCGGAAAGGGAACAACGATTTTTAGCGAATTTTCTTCAATCGGAATCAATTGGGCGCGCATTTCACGAGTGTTGAGAGCGGATCGAACGTGCTCGTTTCTCGCAAATTTTTAATAGTCATTTAATATTTTTAATATTGTGCGGTTCTCGTCGTTTCGTAGACCTTGAATTTTGCGCAAAATTATTGTGATACGATTTCCAGTTGACTTGGATAACGCACGCGTAACACTGGTAAGTAATTTCTATACGATTATAATATAAACTGAATTATTGTAGCAATAACGTACGATGTGCTGTTTAATGTGGCGCTTGGTTAAATGTTGCAATAGCACGTTTCATTATAAACATGTGCTACTATATGTGATGTCAGAAGCTTAGTATCGATCGATGTAAATTCGTACACTTTTATTGATTAAAATTTATTTTATAATAAATTATATAATTATAATATATTTAAAAAAAATATATGCTTTACAAATTCATACCTAAATTTAAAAATTTTATTTACAATATATATGTAAATAAATTTTTATTACTGCTTGGATCTCCATGGGTTACTTACTGGTTAATCGCACTGTCAGTCATATGTGTCTGACACAAAGAAGTTCTACATGAGCCATGTCAGACATATATATCTGACAAATTGACCTGAAAATTTATAGGGTTGTCGAGAAAAAAATTGGCCGTACCAGTCATATATGTGTAAGATAAAAAGTAGTATTTTTTAAGAATTTTGGCAATTTTTTTTTTGTACATCAAGTTTCCTTGATACATATTCATCATATAAAATAATTCATCTAATGAAAATACCATGGCCCATGTGACAATTTTTATGACATCGTGGTGATTAACATGTTATAACATTACACTTATATTTCAATTTTATTTTTTTTATTATTTGAGCAGTATTTTTATACTTCTACACATTTTGGGTATTCAGATCCGAATGATCTGATTGTTTTATAAAGGATACATTTAAAATTTAATTGCAAAAAAATAATCTGCATACAATCTTACTACTATTTAAATTGCATTTATCACTTTAATACTAGACTTCTACATTAATTTTATTTATTTCTATGGGTTAGCCAATTCAAGTAAGTACTTTTATACTTCAACACAATTTGTGAATTCAGATCCGATTGATTTCACGACTTAATAAAATAAAAACACATTTATAATTCATTAACAAAAATTTGATCTACATAGATTAAAGCGACAGAAATATTTACCATTAATACTACTATTTATATCCCATTAGCTATTTTAATATTAGACTTTTGAATTTTATTTATAAATTAATTAATTTTATTTCTGTTTATGAATTATAGGAAGTGTTAAAAATGCGTACAAAAATTTAAAAAAATTGTATTGTATATGCATAGTCATCTTATTACTATTTGGATCTCATTTACTAGTTTGATACTCGACTCATACTTTAATTTTATTTATTTTCATATATTAGCTGCACACTTATCAATACATTTCATAAATTTAGATACTTAAACTACAGACAAAAATACATTTGAATTTCAATTGCAAAAAATTAATCTAAATAGATTGAAATATTGTCATTCTTACTACTATCTAGATCCCACTTCTACTTCAATTTTATTTATTTTTATACATTAGCTGCAATTATAATAATTTTTACATTTCAACAAATTTTTTATAAAAAAACACTTCATAAAAATTACATTCACAAAAATTAATCAACATAGATCGAAATATTTGCAATATTTACTACTACAATTTACGAGTATATTCCATTAGGCTACATTAATGCTAGCATCTACTTTGATTTTTATATAATAGCTACAATTTTAAGTAGTATTTATATTCCAAACCTATTTGCAAATTATGATCCAAATAATTTAATAACTTAATTACTAATAAATTTACAAATCAATTGCAAAAAAGCTTATTCTACATGCATTTCTGCTACTAATTTAGATCCTATTTGCTACCTTAATACTAGATTTCTACTTCAATTTTATTTATTTTTATATTTAGCTACAATTATAATAAGTATTTTTATATTTGTCAAACACACACTTTGTAAAATCAGATCCTAATAATTTTATCACTTTATAAAAAATAAATTTAAAATTCAATTTTGTAAAAACTTAATCTAAATGGATTGAAGTGCTTAAAATATTTGTTATCCTTGCTACTATTTAGATTGCATTTGCTGCCTTAATACTAGACTATTATTTTATTTATTTCT